CTTCAGAATTTATCAAGTCTAATATTTTTGTTTTCTAATTTATTAATTTCTGCTTGTACTTTCATTAAAAGCTTTTTTTTTAATATTTTTCTTAGGTTTGCTTACTGCTTTTTTTTATCTTCATTTGAGTGATTAATATATCTAATCATTAATGAAAATGTTTAGAGCTGTATGCATTGATTGGGACAAAGAAGTGGTATTCAGAACCTTTTGCCTTTTGAGACTGGAAGCTCTAAGATCTGCCCTCACTCTGACGTCTTGGTTCCTACAGTTCTTTGATTCTCTGATCTCCGCCCATATCCTTGTCAACTAACTATAGAGCCAATAAATTCTCTTTTGAGTTTTTGCTGGTACTATCTGCAGGATACCTTAGCTGAGTGTTGATTGACCTGTCATGAAAAAAGCTCTATGTGCCAAAAAAATTATAGAGCTGTTTGGTCTTATCTTAAATCTTATTTGTGTTTTCTTGCTATTTGCTTTTCTTTGTTTTATATCTTTTTATTGTGGGTTGCTCCGCCACAATAATTTGAAAGATGTTTAATATATTTTTAGTTCTGCAGGTGAATTACATGTTTAAGTATTCCTAAACCATATTTCCCTTACCTGTTGATTCCCACTGTGAAATAATCAGGAAATGGACTTTTTCTAACCAACTCCACCCCCTCTTGTTGCTTTTAATGTACTGTGATATGTATCTTCATGATATATTCATTAAGTGTGTAAAGCAGAGTATAGTACAGTGTGCGTAACATGCTATTTTTTTAACTACCGCTTATTTTTATTTATCTTAAAATTGAGATGTAATTGACATACAACATCTTATATATCAGGTATGCAGCGTAATGATTCAGTATATGTGTTTATATTGCAAAATGATCACCACAGGAAGTCTTGTTTACCATACAGTTAAATTTTTTTTCCTTGTGTGATATCTTCATTTTTTTCTTGTAATAACTTTTAAGATCTACGCTCTTAGCAAACTTATGCTGTCTTTTTAAAACAAGAAAAATAAGAATATATCAATATTTGCCTGTGTGTACGAAAAGACTGGAAGCATACACATGAAATTAATGAAAGTGTTGACAGACCTGTTGACAGAAGTGGGAATAAGACTTCTCACTCTTTACTTTTTTCTACTGTTGGATTTTTGGATCATGAAAACATTGCCTATTCAAAAGAAAAACATTTTTAGAAGCTTCTTTAAAAAATAACAAAAAAGAGGGGCGCCTGGGTGGCTCAGTCGTTAAGTGTCTGCCTTCGGCTCAGGTCATGATCCCAGTGGGTTTGAGCCCCGCATTGGGCTTCCTGCTCAGCCAGGAGCCTGCTTCTCCCTCTCCTCCCCCTGTTTGTGTTCCCTCTCTAGCTGTCTCTCTGTCAAATAAATAAATAAATAAATCTTAAAATAAATAAAAAAGAATTTACCAATACATACTTTGTTTCCCAATAGCTGTAACATTATATTTTGTAACCATAATTACTATAGTTATTTAGGTTTAATTCTGCGTTGTAATGGATTTAGTGTTCAATGCCATTCTTTTCCCAATAGCCTTTCTCATTAGTTCTTTGAGTCATATCTCAGGCTTATATTTCAAATAAGATTTTTTTAAAAGACTTATTTATTTGAGAGAGTGCAGAACGAGAGAGAGAGCATGAGCGGGGAGAGAGAGAGAGAAGGAGGGTCCTCACTGAGCAGGGCTCGATTCCAGGACACTGGGATCATGACCTGAGCCGAAGGCAGACGCTTGACGACTGAGCCACTCAGGTGCCCTTCAAATAGATTTTTCAGGATAAAATCTAATTAATGTATTTCCTTTGCTATATATAGAATTCTTTGTTCACAGCATATTAGTCCCTTTAAGATGGTAGACGGTGTTCTGTTGTCTTCAGTTTCTAATGTAAAGTGTCAAAAGTCAGCCTAATTTCTTTTTCCCTGTAGGTGACATGGTTTTATTGCCTGGATGCTAGAAGGTTTCTTTTCCTTTATACCTCTGAAAATAGCTTTTATGAAGCTATGTCTTGATGTTACGCCACTTGTAGTAACTTTTCCTGGTCTGTAATGAATACTTTTTATCTGTATATCTAGGTATCCCTTCATCTATATTTTGTTAATCCCTATCTCTGAATAATTTGAAGTGTTCTTATTTTTGTTCATGTATTTATTGTGTACTTAACTATGTACCAGACACTGTATAAATCAGTGGGGATAGAATGGTGAGTAAAACAGATACGGTCCCTATCCTATCCCTCTGCTCTCACACAACGTCAGTCAGGCCTAGGGGTGGATATAAGTGTATTTTGTTCATACCACTGATGACTCATCACATTGTTTAAGAATTTGTATCTGTCATTCCCAGCTAAGCTGTGAGCTCCCCAAAATAAGCACTGTGTCTTATGTACTATTGGACAACCTGACATGGGGAGGATCTCAGTTAAATGGGTAAATGGCCTGATTTTGTTGAAATGGCGCACCCATTCCTTAATCTCCTCTTAGATTTTGCTCTCTGCCTACCCACTATGATCTGTTCATACCTTTGTTCTTAATCCTCATCCCTTACTTGTAATTGTATATGTGATATTCTTTGCCCTGTGTGGTATAACATTTCCTAAAATTTTTTCCAACCAGTGCTCACTTTTCCGGCTACTGTATCTTTTATGTCCATGATATATGTCTCTTTTTTCACCACGGTATGTGTAATTGCAGTGCAGCTGTTTCTAAGAACAAGAAACAATAATAATATTGAAAGGTGATGTTCGATTTTATCCAGATTCTGGGTACTTTTTATTCCTGCCACCTAGTGGCCAAATCAGGATTACAACATGACAATAGGTGTGTCTTGGCTTTTCCTGGTTGTAGCCAGTGTTTAAAAATGTGTTGATATTACCTGAGTAATCTCAGTCTTGTTCCCCTGTCTTGGCTTTTTTAAGGATCTGCGTGTTGGTATGTTGAGATTAAAGTCAGAAGCCATTCCCGCTCTGTCATTTTTGTCCTTAATCATATATTTTTTTGCCCTGAAAACACCATACTGATGCTTACACAAACTAATGCTTACATAAACCAATTTAAGATTTTAGTTTTACAGTTATAGAGCAGTGTATTTATTGGCACAGTGGTAGTTCCTTGGAAGAAATCTTAGTATATATAAAAGATAATATTATTGACAATAATGACTGATTAACAAAGATTACTAAATCCCACTAAAGTATAAGTAGTGTTAACAATATTCCTGAGATCTTATTCATTCGTTCATTCATTCAAAAGCAGCATCAGTTTCTGAAGAGGCATCAACAGAGCATGTTAACTTATTACAGGAGACAGTAAACTTCAGGCATTTACAGTTGGAAAATGGGGTTGCTATCATAGTCATTTTTTTTCATCAGTTTGGGAGCCAGAGAATCTTCTCTTCTGCAAATTTATTCTGTCTTTTCCTTAAGTAACTGTAGTTTACATTTTTCTTTTCAGTGTTTTGTAATCACAGTTAATGCCTGCTGTCACTTGAAAATAAGTAAACTCCTGAACCACATGGACTTGTTTTTTTCTTTAAAGACTATACATCAGAATATTTTCAAGAAAGTATCTGTTTTCTATCAAATAGCACCTGCGTGCGCTCTCTCTCTCAAATAAAATAATACCTTTAAAATTCTAATTTCCTATCTTTTTCTTCATTCCTTTAGCTATAAAGATCAGCTAGAACATTTTGAAATTGCTTTAAAATTTGGCTCCATTGAAGCTGTAGACAGAATGACTTATATGATGCCATTATTCCACTTTTTATCCCTTAAGGATGTCTGTAATGTAGTAGCTTTGTAGCTTTGTTTTGTCCTCAGAGGAACTGACTGACATGGCCAAGAATAAATTCAGTTCTTAGTGATAGAGAGTAAATCAAATCAGTTTGTGTCTGTGCTGAAAATGACTTGTATTTGGTCCACAGTTAATTTTGATTTATTTGTAAGTCCCTTTAAGTAAATAAAAGTGTTCATTCATGATGGAAAAGATTCTGTAGAATAAAGGGAAAGGGGACTCAGGAAAGTGATTGTAAATCAGAATATCATTGTAAATCAGAATATCATCTTTCACTTTATTGAGACCTTTTGTGAGGTCTGCAAAATCAAAACTGCTTTTGTAATAATACAGTTTGTCTGTTGCGCTCATTCACAAGTCGAGTTTTCCAGAGATTACACGATATGTAATGATGTCACCACTCTGACAGCTGATAGAATGTGTGCTCTATATTCTTGTGTTTTAAAAATTTCTGAGTTTTAATTTATAATAGCAATAGATATAACCCACGTTGTAAAAGCTCAGTGATTTTTAAGAGTTGGAACGAGTCCTGAGAACAAAAAGTTGTGAAGCCCTTTTCTGTGGCATAGTTAAATCAAATTTATAGGCTTGCTCCTTATCATTTCCTGTGTATTGTATATTTTTTGTCTGTTTTGTGTGTTTTTGGTATTTTTTTAGGAACCATAAACTATTCTCTTTATGCTCTCTCAGGGAATAGAATGTGAGTTTTAGTTGTGGGTGGCACATTCAGGAGGTTGGCTCTAAATAGTTCTTGCATAAAGAAAGCTAGATATAGAGGACAGAAGAACTTTCTTCTAACAGTACGGGCCACAATGACTGTCTTGTGATATGATGTGCTCTCTTCACTGGAGGGCCTCAAGCATAGATTAGACAACTATTATTGAGAATATTTTAAAGCAAATTAATAGTGTTCAGTAGGTAACTGTACTAAAAGGGATCTAATAATGTAAAGCCCCTTTGCAAGACACTTAAAATCCTACAGTTTTAGGGCTGAAACCACTTAGGCTGCCTGTGAATTCTAACACTAACGAATAGAGTGGAATTATTGTTAGTTGGTACTGCCCAGTTAAATTTTTTCCTGTTAAGTTTTTTGAAAAATTGAATTACAAAAATGGACCTTTCAATTTATTTATTTCTCTCATATAAAATATGGCATATTTAATCATCTTGCTTACCTTTTTTTTTATGTGTTTTATTTCAGTTGGTCGCATTATGTTTCAGCTCTTCTCAGACATATGTCCAAAAACATGCAAAAACTTCCTTTGCCTATGCTCAGGTAAATGAATTATTAAATTATTTCCAATGAGAAGTCATGGCTTGTAGTTTATCTTGCTTAACAGATGTTTTCTGTAAAAAGTGACTGGCTGTAAAACAAGTTTAGCACATTAAAAAAATACTATTTTCACTGATAGGAAATCAGGGAAGCATTTCTTAAAGGGTAGAAAGGACAAAGAAATGGTCTCAAAAGTAAAAAAGAAAGTACTACTGTGTGTAATAAAGTCATCTCTAAACATTGTAGTTCATAAATTCTAAATTTCAGTGTTTTAAACAAATTTAGCATTCCAGATTCACAAGAAATTTAGGATTAGAAGATAGACAAAACATAATGTGGTTGTTCTTTGTTATTTTTAATTGAATTAATATTTTTTAAAAGTAGAAAAAAATAAAAACATCTATAATGTTATTTTAAAATAACAGATACACTTAAATACATATACAATCTTTGCACCAATTCCTTGATTGCCCTCTTTTACTGGAGTGATAACCATTTCTAATCCTTTTCTCCTGTTGCATGTAGAGTCTATGCCACACAATTTAACATTTATATGCTGCTTGATATTTATTTTAGTTTGTGTGTTGTTGCCTCATTGCCCTATGTTTTGTATCTCTTACAGTGCCAACACACAGGAGGGACTTCACAAAGGACTAATTGGATGGTTCTTTCCATGGAAGATGTTTGTAGCTAAATTTCACTTTTTTTTTTTTTTTCCAGGAGAGAAAGGCCTTGGGAAAACAACTGGGAAGAAGTTATGTTACAAAGGTTCTACATTCCATCGTGTGGTTAAAAACTTTATGATTCAGGGTGGGGACTTCAGCGAAGGTAGAGCTAAAAGTTGCACTTTTAATAACTCCATCAGTCAGTTTCTTGAGTTATCTCATTATACCATTATAAATATTATGTCACAGTATGATATAAATATTAAATGGTCAGTGAGTAGATGTGTAGAGCAAGAATGTATTTTGTTTTTATGTACTTTTAATAATAATATAAATAGTTGGTGAATTCCCTTACAATGAATGCCAACTACTTTTGGATTATTTTTATTCTTCCTGAATTTTGTTGGTGTGATTACTTTTTGAAATAAATGGGTTATGGAGATAATTTTTAATAGTATTTTAGTAATTTATATGTATTAATATATTTTTAATTTCCATTATAATTTAATGTAACTCATTATTTGCAGGTAATGGAAAAGGCGGAGAATCAATTTATGGTGGATATTTTAAAGGTAAGGCTTAATATTTTATGGTCCTTTGTTTCAGTTCTGATATTAAAGCAAATTTGATCATGTACTTTTTAATGAGGAGAGGTTTACTTATAGTTCACTTTTTGCATGAAACTAATGCTGCATGAAAATACTTTATTTGCATGAACTTGGGGATAAAATATATTGTAATATGTAACTTTTAATTGACAAGATTAATTAAGGCTAACTTTATGGTTAAACATGACTTTCAGCATGGAGGTTAGGCAACTATATACATGAAAACTCCTATCTTCCTGCCTAAAACTGTCAACATATTCTTTTGTTTATAGAGAATGTGGTCTTTTGCAAAATGAAAAGGTAAGAGAACGAAGCTCAGTAACACAAACTCCAATTCTGTTCCCTTGCACCCTTCCTAATAAATTTATGGACAGCCTGGGTTAGGTTGTGGCTGGATTTCTTATATTGCTTGAAGAATTGGAAAATTCTGTATACTATTTCATACATGCATCTCTATCTCTTTTCTTTTCCCAATGGGTTATTCTACATCAGGGAAAAAAATCTAGTTATGTTTTTTCCCCCAAACCAGCAATTTCTTTGAATAAAAGTTGGTATTTCCTACTTCCTCAGAGGTTTGTATGTTTTCTTTTGTATACTAGAACTATATGATTGTGTTTTATTCCTACAGTAGTAGTATTTGCATAAGTCTAACTATTGCACTTGCCCCAAAAAGCCTTAGAAAAGTCAGTTGCAGAGATTTATAATGGGATCCAATCTTACTAGATTTAAATGCCATGATAGCTTCAGTGTTATAATAGTCTTCTATATTTCTTTTGGGGGAAAATGGATTACTACTCTTTTTCAGAAGCCTGTTCCCAAGGTAATAATTTTTTAAAGTTTTCTATGTTTCTGTTTGTTCTAAAGAAAAGATTTGTTTGTATGAATGTTACAAGGGAAATTTAGTTTTGAAGATATTTCTGCTGGAATTAAAATAATCTCTGAGTGATCTTTATAACAGTTTTTCCTTTGAACCAGTAGGAAGCAGATCATTAGCTGGTTCTATCAGCTTGTAGCAATTTGAAACTAATGTTGTAGGCCACTTTAATGTGGTTGTTCCAGTGGTGGCAGATACTTGTGTATCTTAAAATTATATTTTGCCCTTTAAGTTTTTGTTTTTATGGGACTTGCCTCCTTAGATAATTTTTGATCCTATCTATTCGGAGTCTATATACATTATTTAATTTATGTACATCCTTACAACTAAAATTGTAACTTTCTGTTTTTTGCTCTCATAGTCTAGCTTCAATACAGTTGAATAATTTTACCATATAGAAATTAAGCACATAAAATTATTAAACTTCTCCCATATATAGTGCATTAAGCAAGATAATTGGAAAGTTGAAGAAAGTGAGCTTTACTGTAGAGATTTTTCTAAAATCTCTTTACTGGTTTTCCCTGAAAGTTAATATGTAGTTTACATATCATTTAGCCAAAGTATGTTACTACTAAAAGTGACTATTCTAAGGCTGTTTGTATAAAGCATTAAATATATGTTCTTTTCCCCAAGGCTTTAAGTAGTATTTTTGATCTTTTTATGCTTTTGTTATTTGATTAGTTAAAAAAATTTTTTTCTAAATATTCAGACAAATATCTATACTGACCAGAAGAGGAATTTCATCCTTTGCTTTCTATTTATTACTGTGAACATTACACTTTAAAAGTGGCTTATAATTAGAGACTGACGAATTTGTGTTTTCTTCAAACAGATGAAAACTTTATTCTCAAACATGACAGAGCGTTCCTTTTGTCAATGGCAAATCGAGGGAAACATACCAATGGTTCCCAGTTTTTCATGTGAGTAGGCATAATTCAGAGATGAGCTTTTCTTAAACAGAGAAGCGCTGTTCATGAGAAAGATGGTACAGTTAAACCAAGTTTAAATGCTCAAATTCTGCCAAATTGGACTTTGTTACTAATTTCTAACGTTACAGAAACTGGTAAGCTCTAACAACCGCCTCAGCATTCAGTATATATCCTCCATTTGAAGAATGGTACTTAAAAGATGTAACTTGAAGATGTACATTATTTTCAAAGTATGTTGTCGTCTTAGGAAAGGAAATTGGCTTTGACTTAACAAATTTGGGGGCTCAGTTTACCAAAACTAGATTGGAACATAAACTATTGATCAGCATTTAAAAATTGTTCATAGACTAGGACTAATGTGCCCTTGGCCTGGAGAACAGTTGTTTTGAGTAAACCATTGTGTGGTTGCTTTAAGGTTGCTCTTTGAGCTAATTTGAGAGAGGTACCATTATTTTCTGATACTGTACAGAGATGAGTGACTTTGCTATTGCATCAGCATGGTAAAAAACTTAAATCTCTTGAGATCTCTATGCATAATTGAATTAAACCAATATTGCTGTCATTTCCACCAAAATTTATGAGATTAGCACTCAGGAAACTTCAGAATGCTAAATTTGCTTTTTAAAAAAACAAAACACCTTTTCATGTACATACAGGCACAATCAAAACCTTGGCATATTTTTAGTTATATTCTTACCTAAAGCTACTCTAAAACCTATTTATATTATGATCCCAGGATTTAAAATAGGAAAGATAATTGGCTAGCATGAAGTTTAATGCTTTTGATTAGAAGTAAATCTCTACAGTTGTACTATATATGTTGGAGAAATATTTTATTCATGGTTTGCCAGAAAAAGTTCTTGTCATCTTTCTGAATGGACGAGTATGAATGGCGCTTCCCTGTCTTTAAAGGAGTAAATTATTCATGTAAAATAAATCTCACATTTTAAATTTGTCTGCAAAATAGATTCCCAACATGATCTGATAAAGTTCAGATAAGGGGCATTCAGTTCCTAAGAATGTCCTAAAAATGGAAAGCTGATGGAAGATGACAGTGCTTGGAGCGTGCAGGAAAAAAGGAAGACCGAAATTTGTTCCTAGATCATGTTTTGATCCCTTAGAACAGTAGTTATTAATACTTCTCTACTAGGGTATTTTTCTTTCTTTAACCTTCTTAAGGGCCAAAAAAAAAGTAGTGGGAAATATCTTGAAAAACTTCCTTTATAGTAATTTAATATAAAGCTATTTACTCTTTGATTGAGGTTTCCCATTTCCATTTTTAAGCTTATCTGAACTGTGAACATGATAAACTAATGAAATTCATTGGTCAAGAAGCTACCATCTGAGGGCTCTAAAGTTTCTTTTAGATTTCCTTTTTTTTTATATCAGTACATTAAAATTTATCAGGTAGCAGCAGCTTCTTCCCATTGTTACATACCATTTAGCTTGTTTAATCGAACGTGAAGAGTAAAAACCGGTGTGCAGGTACATACATTAATTAACATCAGTATATGACGAGGTTCTCCCTTCAAAAAATTTATTTTGTTTTCTGTGTTATTTAGTACTTGCTTAAGTCTTTTGTAGGAATGCTTAGTATCAAAATTATGGCCATTGCTGTTTCTACATAGTTTAATTTTACATTGGACTGCTACTTTTGGCAAGGAATGCCAAATGAAAATTGTAACATCCGTGAATTAGGATTAAAAGTTTTAAGCTTGTCTTCATAATTAACTGTAGATGGCACTAAAATCACTCTGAACTTACTTTGAAAGAAAATTTTCTACTTTTAGTTTGAAATTTGCTTCTGGAAATAAGTTTGCCGTTAAAAGTAGTCTTGGAAGTAATTTAGTGTTTTTGTACATACAAAAAAAATTCTTCTTTTTCTAAGAAATTTTTGTGGCATGTGCTGTTTTGTGCTGGCTGAAAGTACCGGTTCCCCATGGTTGAAGGATAAAATGAAACTAACATTCACCTTTCTAAACAAAACACTTTCTATTATAGAAAGGGGAAATGGAGATGGTGGCCCATAAAAAGAAAAATCTTTGAAAATCTCTGTCTTGCAAGCCCAAATCCTTTTGGAGTTGGAAGTAGTGCAAAAGTATAATGTACTGTCTTCAAGTTGTGTCTGTGATCCCAGCTAAACTCTAAAAGCTGCGGCTGGCTGCGAGGGCGGGCAGTGGCAAAGTCCTCTGTGGGCTGCCCCAGGGTGGTGAGGGTGGTGAGGGTGGTGCTGAGCTTCTCCCTCTCACCACAGCTTTTCCTGGGGCGCCTCAAACAGCTCTTCTGCATTCCAGACAGGAAAGGGTAGTGTGAGAATGGGTGGGAAAATGCCAAGAACTGCCTTGATAGGTCCAGTTTTACAGGCTTAACAAGGACTTTTACTACATCCTTGCACAATTATATTTGTAGTTCATATTGTAATTCTACTACTTTGTCATTCCTAGGGAGTAAATTTGGTGCTGTTACTGTGTTTGCAAAATATTCCTCAAGGACTCTTGTGCTTTGTGCAGTAACTATTGTCTTCATTACTGAAGCATTTAAAACCTCCCCTTCCTAAGGCATACATAATTTTTATTAAACATAATTGTGCACATATTGCTTTCTTTGGATGTAACAATCATGTATATGACAAAAACCAGATTTTCTTCTATAAAGCCATTCGTAATTTTTGCAGTAACTGTTTATATCTCCTGCTGTATCAGTCATAATGATTTTGCTTTGGGGGGCCTACTATTTCTTTTTGAAATAGTACTGCTCAAGAAACGTGGAGGAAGTGATACTGTCCCCATGATTCACTGAGGAAATAATGGTTTGTTCATGTTGAAGTATTTTTGAAGGACTTCAAAGATCTGGAACCAAAATAGTAACCAAGTTAACTCAGTATTTAGTCATTTTTGTTCTTTTTATTATTTATTTGTTGAAGCCAAACACTAGGAAGAAACCATAATAAGAGCAATAGAATTATAAAGTCTTAGAGTGGAAAAGGATTTCAAGATCATCTCGTCCAACCTTTTCCTTGTATAAGTAATGCAAAGATAAAATGACACACAGAAACATTTTTCATTTCCTTTGGTTTCTAGTAATAACAGTCTGGTAATTCTCTAATTTTCATTGTTTTTCTATACATTCATCAACAAGGTAAAGAAGGTATTACATGAAGTAGTCATTAAAAAGATTAGGTGGTTTATAGCTTTGTATTAAATAACTATATCTTGGGTTAGAGCTACTATTCTAGCTATCAGGAGACCTTGGTTCTAGTTTTATTGGCTATTTACCTTGAGTTAGTCTGTCTTTCCTTTTTGGCTTATGAAGTATCTGTCCCATTCTCAAAGATAAAGTAAACATTTTGGCATGAAAATGTGGACATAAAAGGAAAAAAGTATTTTGTAGGTTGATCCTCAATTTCTGAATATGTGGAATGATTTGTGTGCAAACATTGTCTTGCCTAAAGGAAAATAGTTGTAATTGCCTAATTTACATCAGTCTGAAAGGTGCTGCAAAGAAGCTTCAGGCTCATTTGCCTAAATTAGGCAGCAGTCTTCATCAGCTGCGAACAGAACGTTGACGTGGTGGTACACTTGTCTTCCTTCGCTTGGTCTGTGCCACTTTATGTACAGCCATGGAGTAGAAAGACCTGCAGAGCTTTGGAGAACAGTCTGTCGTTGGCTACTGTCAGTGGTCATGATAATTATAAAAATTTAAGAAAACAAGATAATGTGGAAAAGTCAAACTTTAAACAAAAAGTGTTAACGTGTATAAATAGAACTGTGGGAGGAAAATATAAAGTAGTTCCAGGATATGTCCTAACCAGACTTAGAAATGGCTGAACACCTGAGTGGGAGAGAAGTGCTGATCGTTTCAGAGCAGAGCAAGGGGAGGTGAAGACCGGTTTGGTGTTAAGGGGTTTTTAAAGCTATGCTGCGATTTGGGGTAGCAAAGGTAAATTTGGGCAGAAATGGTTTTCCCTCCACATATTCATGAATCTGTATGAGAAGAAATGCTAGTAAGTGTCAGTAATCTGGGAGGTTCTAGTTTTTCCTTCCTTTTTGGGGCTAGTATCTTTATGTGTACATTGCAGAATTTTTCATCAACAAAGATGTTGGTGAAACTTAAGCATAAACCAAGTTCTCTGAGTATCAACTGTCATCTGTAACATCCAGTCTTAATATCACTTAGTGTTATGTGACATATGTATTAGCAACCTGGAAGGAATTTTGTATCTAGTAGTGTTTGATGTGTATTATGTTAACATTAGTGCTGAATTTTTGAAAGCTCTCTATTTGGTGACTTTTGGAACATAGGGAGAGTTCTATAACATGGCCCTTACACAAGCTGTGTCTCTCACTATCATTTGGTGCCTCTTCCATGATGGTGCGGTAGTTTCAGGGGTTTAAGGAAAAAATTGCGTGTTCAAGGCTACAGTAGACAGAAATAGGTTATCTTTATGTTCATACTACTTTACACCTGGAGTCACTTTTTTTTTTTACAACATTCATTGAAAACACCACATTATTTGAAACATCATATTCTTTTTCCTTTAAATATTTTTTATTGTTATGTTAATCACCATACATTACATCATTAGTTTTTGATGTGTCCCATGATTCATTGAAACATCATATTTTTGACAGTAATTCATGTATCAATGCCTTTATAAGAAATTAAAGCTTGTTTTTAAATATTTCAAGATTTAATAGTCTGAAACCTTTATAAAGAATTTTGTCCACTATATATAATACGGATTTTGGTCTGAGTATACTGGATATGTTTAAAGTTTAATAGATTTAAAGTTGGTTAGGCTGTGTATTTTTTGAAAAAAATTTTTTTACAATGGGGAAAATCAGAGATTAGGTAGGAAAAGCAAGTATCATGGCCAAAATTTGATAGCATACTTTTATACTTTCATCTCTCTTGCCTTTTTATCCTTTGAGAAGATCCTAAAAATTCTAGTTATGCTGCTTTATTGTTTTATTATTATTATTTTCGGGGGCTTAACAACCACAGAAGTGTTGAACAGAAACTAGGGTCCTAATTTTGCTCACTTATTCCTAATAGTGGTCTGTTGTGTGTGATGAAAAAAAGATTTCAAATGTAGACCATGAAAGATTTTTAACTACTTGAAGTGAATTACTAAAAAAAGAAGAGAAAGTTCCCTGAAATTTTGTTTTGAATTCTCTTAACTCAGTCCTTTTCATTGACATTTTTGCTTTCCACTGGTAGTAACTGTTCCTAGGCATTCATATTTTTATATTCATGTATGTACTCAGGATACATTACTCTTTTTTTGAGAAAGGTGTTGGTTGACTTAGCTAGTTTGTAGGATTTGCAAAGCAAAATACACTGTTTGGTTATTCACACTCTAGTGTTAGAATATTAAGGCTGTGAGCAGATTCCCACCTTCACCACAGTGTTTTTCTTAAGCATAGTTTGTCTCTACATACATATCCTATGTGAAAGAAAATTTAGAGCCCTCCATTTTAAAAAAGCTTTCTTGCTTTGCATAAAACTTGAAAATATTTAATTTCAAAGTTATATTGATATTAAAACATAGATTCAGTCTTGTCTTAAAAGTGTATTACAATTTATTTCTTGCCATTTTTGTGTAAAATTTACAGAAAGAGTGTTACACCGTGCGCTCCAAAGGTAATGTCTCATTACTCTAAGGCTCTCTTTTTCTTTCTTTGCCTTTATCTCTTTAATCCTATTGTTATGTGCATTGAACCATTGTAAGAAAAACTTTCTGCTTGATTTATAGCAGCAATACATGTAAAACAAGTGTGTTTTATTGTTCGTGGTTAATCCTGGGAAGTACATTTCCCCACCATGTTTCCACACCTCTTCTGGGGGAGGGTGGGGAAAAGGGTGTATTGTATATAATGGTTTAGATTTCAGTGCAGAACTGTTAATTTCTGTATAAGGCCAAAAGCTTCTTTGATAATGGTATAATAATGTAGATTGTTTTTTGGAGTAACAGTGACACTTTTCAATGTCTAGGATTTACAAAGTTTAAATGAATCCTTATGCATATATTTTTAAATTACGTTCAGGGGGTGGAGGAAACGAAAATCAGTGTCTTAAGTGACAGGAGAAAATGGAAATGTGAAAATATTGAAAGCTTTTATAATTTGAAATGTTCTTTGTGGTTCTTTCTCCTTTAGGTATGTTTTCATGAGCATGTATAAACTTAAATATTTATGGTAGTCTCTGGCCATGAGGTCTGAATTTATTGAGTGAGTGTCACCACTGCATGGGTCTTTTCCACTATATAGTTTTGAAAGATCAGTACAGTTAAGAGTTGGTGGGATGAGATCTCTTTGGTTGAGTAGGATTGAATAGCTTGGACCAAGTGTATCATTTCTGCCTGCCCGTTTGGCAGTGTCCTCTGTTTATCCATGTCTGCTGTCAGCCTAGTGCCAGTATGCCTGCTTTACACTGTTATTTCTACTCCTGGAATGTAGGCTGAGAACCCCGAGGGGCTTCTTTGTTAAGGTACTTTCAGTATTCTTAATATGTAGTCTAACCCGATTTAAGTATACATTTGTATTTCTGCCTCCTGAATTGAGGATGCAAGTGATGGACTTAATTATTCACACCAGTGTAGGCACAGCAAGCCAGCTGAAATTTGCCCCTGCAATAATTGTTCTTATCTTCATTTGTTTTCTTCACTATTGCAGTAAAGGACCAAGTTTTTTTGTCTTCAGTTGTCATTTGAATTCAAAACAAAACTGGAATCTGTCATAAACGTAGTGATTCCATCCTCAAATTGAGTCTCAAGGGGTATGTTGCTATCTCACGGCAGTTAGCTAGAGTGTTCTCATCTCACCATTTGCTCCAGAGTTTTGCCATCAGGTGGTTTTTACAGGACTCCTATTAGCCAATGTGGCAAACTGAATTGGGTTCTGTGTGTTTTAGAAAAATCTGTAGGCTTTTCCCCGAAAGATGTGAGAGTTGTGAAAGAAAGGATCAAGGAAGGAGGAGGAATATACCTAATCAATAAACCACTCCTTGTTTTCACTGCTACGTATTTGAAATCGATCCCTTAACATTGTAGGACATTTTTATCTTTACAGATTTTACCTCTTACATCTTTCATACAATGGAATCACTGTCTAGCATATGTACTCATATCTTTCTATCATAAGCGTGCTTTGGTAAAGTTTTATATATATGGGAAGCACATTTCCGTCTTAAAGTTATTATCCAAAGTAGTTTCCGGATGCTAGTTTAATTATTTAAGCATTAGTTCCTCACCTGCTTGCCAGATTTTCTCTTTTTTTTCTTTCTTCTGTTTTTACTCATTTTTACTATTATATTGGCTTGAATTACAACTTCTCAGTCTTCTAAGGAGAATTTGAGACTTTGTGGTTTTAAAACTCAGGATTGCTTTAAATTCTGGAAATTCTTAAATTGACAATTTTTAAAATTAAATTCTGTAGTGCTTTTACAGAACTGAATATTCTTAATGTAAGTATAAATGCTACCATTCCTTGTAGAATAATGATTTTTAGCATTGTTGTGAAGATTAAAATTGTGTTTTGTTGAATCACGTATCTTAGAATTGCCTTAAAATGAATATAAAAATTGATACAGGAGCTCCTAGCACAGTTGACTGGTTTAAGCATGGCCTGATAGCCAGTGTTCTTTCTCAAATTCTTCTGTTTTTCATTCTTACAAACTAAGATTTTTGTGGTACATCCTTCTGAGTCTAGTTATCTGCTTTTGAATTTTCACTGCAATTCACATATTGTGAAGATTTGTGACAATGCTAAGGGAAACAACCAGTTTGGGTTCAAAATGTCTTAACCAAATATACCCCATAGACTTCCCAAGAGTGACTATCGGCCAGTTTGTGACTGTAGAAGCAGCGGGTTGGGCATTTTCTGGGCCATAGAAATGTAAAGTGTCTATAATGTTATCCATCATTACTTACCATGTCAGAAGTGTTGACAAAGGGAAGGTTTGCTCCCTATTGCATTTTTAGGGTTGCTGTGAGCGGCAGAGCTTCACCTTAGGTGGGAGGGGCAGGAAGTTCTGGAAACAGGACTCCTAAGGCCTACCTCCATCTGCCTGCCTAAAAGATGCAGACTGACTCAGTATGAGAAATAACAAATAGCAGAACTCATTTAAGTGTAGGGGCCAAGTATTGATCACACTTTTCTTTCCTTAGGGCAAATGATAGTACTTTTTATTCTCTTTAATTATCTTGATAAATTTTGAGTTTGTTTTTGCTTTTGTTGTTTTGGATTCGAGAGTAACTTTAATTTTAAGGTATTTTTATGCTATTTCAAAATTGTTTCATACATATGTATAAGGATAGTCTTCATATAGGAGAAATAAATACAACTTTGTAATTCGTTATAATCTTGAGCGATTTTTTTTTAACCAGTAAAATGGCTACTGTTGCTGTTGGTAAGGTTTTTAAGTGTAGATGTATACCACATTTAACTTGTTCCCTATCTTTTTATCTTTACCTCTTTGTTCTCTACATGCTGTGCTCTAAACCCTTCTGCTCTGTTCACCTGAACACCTGGTTTTTGCCATCTTTGTGTTGATGTTTCTTACACAGTACCACAAAACCTGCTCCACACCTGGATGGGTAAGAGTGACATTTTATTACCTTGGGGGTGGTTTGGGTGGCCAGTCCAATACAGGTTGGACCATGGGTGACTCAAGGGGGTGCTCTTGATCTCTGGGTTAATCTCTCAAAGCCAGGCCCCTCCTTAAGGATCACAGGTTAGTCAGTCTTGAGACCTCATAGCTGTCATGTCACTGAATGGGGTCTTTATCTGGGCCTATGGATACACCTCCCAGTCGTGCTCTCTTGAGTGACTCTGTAACAATAGTTTCTGAGTATTAAGGGCAATCTGACTGTTCTCAGACTCTTTACTTTAAAAAAAAAATACTGTTTTAGGCAGAAAACTGAGGCTCGATTTGAGTAATTGTTGTTGTTTGTTCCTTTTACGAAGCAGATTTCAAGTTCCAATTCCCTTCTAGTTGTTTCATTCATCAAACACTTTGCTTTTCTATTGAGGTCTGTAGACATGTCATGTATAACAGTTGTGATTACTGCTTATGGCTTAATTGGGATCAAACCAGTTCCTTCTCGAATTTGTATTGTGACAGGGTTCATGTCGTCTTTGGATTAGTTATTTCTGGTTTTGAAGTAATCGAACAGATTGAAAATCTGAAAACGGATGCCGCAAGTAGACCTTATGCAGATGTGCGAGTTATTGATTGTGGGGTGCTTGCCACAAAATCAACAAAAGATGGTAAGGGTTTTTGGGGAATGGAGGGAGCTAGGATATAGGTAAAACACGTTGACGACTATAACTTAAACATACTTACTGGATTTTAGTAGTGGAGGAAACTATACAGGTTGTATGGCAGTAGCCCCGATGCTTCTGTATCATACTTTCTATCCAAGTCATGTACAAATCTTATCAAATCTCCCTTCTTTTTACTTCCCCCTGCTCTCAGCCTTGTCCAGACCTGGATGACTGCAGTAGCCTCATACCTGTCCTGTTTACCTCTGTCCTTCTCTATAATCTTTTCTCAGCGTAAATTCCTAACTGGTCTCCTTGCTTGTACTCTTGATCCTCTGTAATCTGTCCTTAACAGCAACCAGAGTGATCTTCTCCAAGGGCTCCCTTAGTCAGCCAAAGCTAAAGTCTTTACTTGGTCTGTAAGGCATTCTGCTCTCTGCGGTTTCTCTCACCTCTTCCCCCTCATTCATTGTCCTCCCAGCCACGTTGACCTTGACTCAGACACGCCAAGCACGCAGGGACCTTTGTGCTGGCTGTCCCCACTGTCTGCAGCACTCTTCACCCAAGTATCTGCATGACCCCTTTCATCACTTCCTTCAGGTCTCTGTTCAGATGTAATTTTCAGTTACCCCCTGACTCTCCATATTCCCTTTACCCTGCTTTTTTTGTGTTTCTGTCCTAGCACTTAACCATTTGTCATATTATGCAGTTACTTATTTTCTTACCTGATCCAACTAGAATATAGGCCTCATGAGGGCAAGGGCTTTGTTACCTTACAGTCTCCGCAGCACATTGTATTATCAACATGAAGAAAAGTTTATTTAAAATTCTGTCTTTAGTTTTCCGTTCATAAAGCATGTTTTATGATACTAGGCAGTCACATGTTTTACTCTGAACGGTAGGCACTGAAATCCAGTATTAATATTCTTGTTAATATTTCCTAAAAGTTTTTGAGAAAAAAAGGAAGAAACCAACTCATTCAGAAGACTCGGATTCCTCTTCCAATTCCTCTTCCTCTTCAGAATCTTCTTCAGAAAGTGAAATTGAACATGAGAGAAGCAGAAGAAGGAAACATAAGAGGCGGCTAAAAGTTAAACATTCTAAAAAGAGACGAAAGGAAGCAAGCAGTTCAGAAGAGCCAAGGAATAAACATATAATGAGCCCAAAAGGGTAAGTGTGAAACACCAAGGGGAATCTTAAGCTAAAAAAAACCACACACACCCTGATGGGGAAAGCATGTGCAGTTGTGTAAACTTAGCTTTATAACCTGTTGTTGAAAAAGGATAATATTTTTTGGACTTTAATTTGAAATTTGACTATTCTAGGAGTAGCACAGACATTTCATAGCAAAGATTTATGTGTTTGAAGGTGAAAAAAAATCCTTGAAACTTAAAAAAGTTTTAGGATCATTTGACAGTTTTCATAGCAGAATTTAGTACTGTGGTATTTAGTACTGTGTTCATGCTTTATATGTTCTTTAATATTATCTGAAATGCAAACATTGCACATTTTAATTGGTGGCATGCTTTGTTCTCTCTAAGTCACTCCGAGAGGAGTGATACCAACGAAAAAACGTCAGTTGATTCAAATGCTAAAAGAGAAAAGCCTGTGGTCCGCCCGGAGGAGATTCCTCCAGTTCCTGAGAACCGATTTTTACTGAGAAGAGATATGCCTCTTGTCAACGTGGAACCTGAACCGTAAGTAGGGTGATTAACCCCGGTGTTTTCATTTCTGTGAATGATAATTCCATCAGCTCTTTGCGGTTCCACACTTACTTATTGAGCATGACCTGTAGTCAGAGTGCTTTGAACGATACTGTGTGAGATGCCAGGTTAATGAATGACATGTACCCTACCTTTCAGAATTCACATTCTACTAGTAGGGAAGGGGGTTGGACACATAGGCCAGGGGAGAAGTTCTTACTGGAGCTCTGGAAAGATTTCATTACTAATTTTTTTTTTCTTGGCTTTTCATTAGAGGTGAGATTTGGTTGCCACAACAGAGGGTCAGTTGAACTGTTTGGATTCAACTGAATGATAAAACGTGTTCCAATTTGAATAGTGTAAAATTAATTGCATGGTGATTGGAGTACAATTTAACATCATAAGTATGTGACTCTTGCTAATAACTTGCTCCGTGATAACTTCTCTGCATTGGGAAAGATAATGTGTGGCTTTAGATTTGGCCTCAAAAAATACTATGTAGTATATTTTGTGTTACCTCAAGTTTAGAACTATTAAAAGAAATGTTGTAACTTCTCTGCATTGGGAAAGATAATGTGTGGCTTTAGATTTGGCCTCAAAAAGTACTATGTAGTATATTTTGTGTTACCTCAAGTTTAGAACTATTAAATGTTGTTTGAACAAAAATACCATAATGTGGCGAATCATTGATAAGTTCCTTACGAAGAGTTCTGTTGAAGGCTGAGAAATGATGCACATGCACTGTTTACAGTCAGGTTTCTACATAAGGTGGGCCTTATTTAGTTCATTAAACATTTTTAAAGCCTGGTATTGTCTCATTTTAAAAAAGCTGTTATAAAATGGGATGTATCTTTGAATTAAAAGCTTAACATGTTGATGTTTTCATTTCAAAATCTGGCTTGTTAAATTTTAGTGGGACTCTTCTTTCTTAAAATATAAGACACCGAGTTCATTGATCAAATCTATTTGGCTTTCAAAAGGCAGGAAACTTGAAAGGTCAGTTTCTCTGTCATATGACAGGTGTTGTCCGTGGGCCAAATTTGGTCTATTGCCTATTTCTGTATCGCCTGTGAGGTTAAAAAAAAAAGGTTTTTGCATGATAAAATGTTTGTAGAAAAAATAAAAAGAGAGTAGTATTTTGTGACGTGTGGAAATTAAATGAAACTCGAATTTCAGTGTGCGTAAAGTTTTACTGGGACCCAGCTGCATCCACTCGTTCACTGTATGAAGATACAGAAGGGCTGTCCTGTGCTACAGCAGCCGACTCGCGTCGTCGCGGCGGTTTGTATGGGGTGCTCTGTTGCTTCACACTGCTGCTTGGTGCACTCGGCATCGCAGCGATGCCCTTGCAGCTCTCCGGGATTGCGGGCACTGCACATACCACCCCTGTATGCGAGAAGGTATTTTTAAAGATAAAATATCTACGAGCTCATTACAGATCAGCATTGCCGGATGAACAGCATTATCTATTTTGATGGGAAATACTGTGAATCCTAATTAAGTGAAATGTTTTTATTTTTTGTTTATTTTTTTATTTGACAGAGAGAGACAACAGCAAGAGAGGGAACACAAGCAGGGGGAGTGGGAGAGGGAGAAGCAGGCTTATTCACCCCTCCAAAAGAACTCTGTTCCTCTCGTTAGTAGATCTTTATTACAAAGAAATGATACTCAGTTGTCATGTTTCAAATTTTACTGATAAAACATTAGTGAAAATTTGTTTTCTTTCTTGTTATCTGAGTACCTGAGTAATAGCCTTAATTTTCTTCTTGGCCTACAAATCCTAAAATACTTACTCTCGATCCTTTTCAGAAAAAGTTTGCTGACCTCTGTTATCTGGTGTTGTTATAAAGCAGTGATTGCATTTGTGACTGAAAAGTGCTGATAATTTTGTTTGGTCATCTCTCTTCTTTGGTCACATAACATCTTTGGAAGTTATTTTCTGCAGAATTACTTTAAATTATAATTGGCTGGTAGTTGTGTCATACAAAGATAGCACAATTGATCTATTTTATCAGGATCTTTGAGATTTTGATCAGTTGTTTGGGAGTTATAATTGTGCTTCAGGAACTCAACATACGCAAGGATAAGAAGCAGGGGCTGTCAGCCATAGTGAACCTGCCACCTTACTGATTTATCAGCAGTTAAACTCCTATCATTAGTAATTTGCTTAGCGGAATTTGGGTACCACACTTGGCTCTAGTTTATTTGTTCTCAACTTTAGTGGTACTTTAGAATAATTTGCAGGCTTTTGAAAATACCGGCTTCTGGGCCATACAGCAAATCAAATCAGAATGTTCTGGGGAGAAGGTGGAGGATGGTAGCATTGGACCAGTACCTAAAAGGTTCCCAGGTAAACATTAATTTTTGCTGAACACGTGTAGGCAAGTTCAGTCCTTTTTCTTCATGAGGAAAATGGGGTTAACAGTTGCCTACCCAGAGTACCTACTTATCTCACTGTGAGAATTAAGTAATGTCATGAAATTACTGAAAAAACTATATGTATACTTCGTAGTTAAGATTTTTCTATAGAAGAATTGTATTTTTTTTTTTTTGTATGTTTACCTGGACCCCGATTTCCTGGAGCCTTAGAAAACCCTATCTATTGGCTTTAAGAGTCAAGTTGCATTTCTTCCTGTGACTTAGGGCAAGATTTGTAACCTCTTAATCTTAAAATTCTCTATCTTTAAAATGAAGATGCTAATAGTACCTACCTCATAGTGTTATGAGAATTCAATGAGCTAATGCCTTTAAAGTGCTTGTTAACAACCAGCAATGAGCAATCTGAAAAGGAAATTAAGAAAGCAATTCTGTTTAAAACAACATCTAAAAGAATAAAATACTTAGGGATAAATTTAAAGAGGTAAAAGCCTTGTATAGTGAAAATTACAAAATATTTACACCTAAATAAATGGAAAGACCTGCATGTGCATGGGTTGGAAGACTTAATATTGATAAGATGTCAGTACTCTTCAAAGCAAGCTTTGGATTCAATGCAATCCCTATCAAATTTCAACAGCCTTTTTGCAGAAATGGAAAAGTCAGTATCAAATCATATGGAATTGTAGGGGGCCCCTAATAGCCAAAACAGTCTTGAAAAAGAAGAACAAAGTTGGAGCACTGACACCTGATTTCAAAACTTAACACATAGCTACAGTCATCAAAATAGTGTGGTACTGGCATAAAGATATATAGACCAATGGGATAGAATTGAGAGTCCAGAAATAAACCTGTAGCAGTATGTATGGCCAATTGATTTTAGAAAAGGATGCAAAGTCCATTCAGTGGAGAAAGAAGTCTGTCTCTTCAATAAATGGTGCTGGGACAACTGGATTTCCACATGCAACAGAGTAACGTTGGACCCCTATCTCACATCATATACAAAAATGAAAATGGGTCCATGACCTAAATATAAGAACTAAAACTATAAAACTCTTAGAAAACATAGGAGGAAATTTTTATGACCTTGGGTTTGGCAATGAATTCTTACATTTGACACCAAAAGCGTGGACAACAATAACAAAAAAAAAACTCAGTTTAAAAATAGACACAGCATTTGAATAGACGTTTCATACAAATGGCGAGCAAGCACATGAAAAGATGCTTAACATCATTAGTCATTAGGGAAATACAAATCAAACCCATAGTGAGATAATAGTCACCTACCAGGATGGCTATAATTTAAAACAAAACCCCAAAAAACTAGTGTCAGCAAGGATATGGAGAAATTGGAATCCTTATACATTGGTGGCAGGAGTCTAAAATGATTCAGACATTGTGGAAAATAGTTTGGTTGTTCCTCAAAAAGTTAAGCATAGATTTACCATGTAACCAGGCAATTCCATGGGTAGGTATATATTCAAAAGAATTGAAAATAGAAAATGAAACAGAATACTTGTATGTCAGTGCTCATTGCAACATATTCACAGTAGCAAAAAGGAAGAGACAGATCCCAAGTTACGAACACATGGTTGGATAAACAAAAGGTGATGTGTACATACAATGGAATGTTATTTGGCCATAAATTAGAGTTTACCAGAGGCTGAGGGAATTTGGGGGGATGGGGTATTCCTTAATGGGTGGAGTTTGGGTTTGGGGTAATGAAAAAGTTTAGAAAGATAGTAGTGATGGTTGCACAACATCAGTGTAATTAATACACTGACCTGTACCCTTAAAATTGGCTAAAATGGCTGATTTTACATTACATACATTTGACTCAGTTATGTTAAAAATGCTCATTAACATGATGTCTGACACGTAGTAAGTACTCAATAAGAGCTAGCCATCATGTTAGTAACGTGTAAAAACTTGAGGTATGAAGCCTTCTCACGCAATGGAGGACTAGCTGCCACAAACTCTGTACTCTTAGAATTACCGTAAGGCAGCAGATTCAGAGCATTGAAGGAGGAGCAGCTTATTGTAGAGTGGGGGAGACACATGAGTTATTAAAAATTTAAAATAAAATAACAAAATATAGTTTTAAAAACAGTTTAAGCATCAGTCAGAAATACCTTAGGATTCCCTTAGAACATCACTGTTTTGACAAGAGACAGGTAAAAAGGGATTTTGTTTAAAAGTAGTACTATGCTTAAAAAGATGCATAGTATCATATGTACATTTCTACCCAATTGAGTTACCCTTTTTTTTTTTTTAAGGTTTGGCATTCAAAGAGTTTGCCTAGAAAATCAGGTTACGTGGAGTGCCTCATTCTACAAAAGTGTTGGATCTAAATGAAATGACTTTGTATTATAGGAGCATAAATTCTGCATTTAAATATTGAGAAAACTGCCCAGCATTTGCTTATTTTTAATTTTCAGTCTTCTTTTCCAGGAAGATTCCTGATGTTACACCTGTTGTAAGTGATCAAAAACCATCTGTATCAAAATCTGGACGGAAGATTAAAGGAAGGGGCACAATTGTATGTGTGTTAAGACTTTTCTTTTTTTGAAATTACTTATTTAAGTAAGCAGTATAGGCAAAATCCTAGCTTTAATTTTAGGTACAATCCAAGATCTGTTCAAGGAGCTAGTTGTATTCTCCATAGGTATATGAAGATACTGCTATTAGATCAAAATTTATTGCTACATTTTAAGTATCAAATGACATGTGAAACAGTGAGTGAATATGTTGAGAAATCTTAGTATGTTGAATAATCTAGGCTAATGAATTAATCATTAGGACTTTAAGAAAAAATCCCATTTCTTTTGTTGTCTTATATTGTCATGACATAACTTCATATCATCCTTTTGTACTTTAATCATTATTGCTTTTGAATGGCATCTGAGATTGGATTTTATACCTAACTCTGCCCTATAGCAGACTGTAATTGAGCAGTATTTTAAAAACAGTTATTCCTGTCTTTGTTTTTGAAGCGTTATCACACTCCTCCAAGATCAAGATCATGTTCTGAATCAGACGATGATGATAGCAGTGAAACTCCTCCTCACTGGAAAGAAGAAATGCAGAGATTAAGAGCGTACAGACCACCTAGTGGAGAAAAATGGAGTAAAGGAGATAAGTAAGAGCTTTGAGTATAAGCACGATCCTGTGTCTACTATATTTTGAGTGTTAAGAGGCTAGAGACTTACTTCTGGACTTTTCATTAAAGACTTAACATTTAAAGTTCGACCGTGACCAAAGAGAATGCATTTGGGAATACTTGGCAAAAAGAGAGCTATTAAGTAGGAGGGCTGGTTGGCGTCAGGGTGCTTTTAAATCAGAATTCTGTCTTCCCTCACAAAACTATAAAGCTACTGAATCTCTCAAAGATATCTTGTACAATTTTAGAAATAATCAGGACCTAAAAATTATATAGCAGATTCTTTCCTAGCCAGGTCTCTTAGTCACTGATGAATGAATTGGTAGGTAGGAAAATCTGTACCTGGCATGTGCATTAACTTCTGACCCCACGGACTGTTGCTTCTTCAGAAGTGTACCCTTCTCTTACCCTCAGTAACACCCCACAGCAGACTATCTCTTGCAGAAATGGGGCTGGCTTCAGAATAGCTAGTGAAAAATACACCAGTGGGACCCCTCTATAATTGTTCATGGTAGTAGTCTCTTCTCCTCTGTGGATGTCCAGTAGAGTGGTTAGAAGTCGGAAGAGGGAACGTGTCTGCTATGTGAGAGTGATTTAGACACAGTGGTATAGAGAACTCTAGATTTTGAGCCCTGACATGACCCATTACCACTAAGATTGTAAAGGCTGCATCTATTTTCATGTGCTTTTTCCTCAATTTCTGTAGGAAGTAATTTAACTAAAACCTTAAGAGAAAGTCTTAATTACCTCTGTGAAGCTGAAATAAAATAATAGTCATGCCAGCTTCTTAAGAGACTTCTTTAAAGTTCAGGCAGCTGTCCTGTATCTGCAGGGAATCAACAGAATTGTTTGGGAACTTGATTTGACTCTCCCTCAAAAATTGTTCCCAGAGGCAGAGGGTCATGAACATCCTAGCCAGGGAACTCAGTATATCAGCAGTGCTCTTGGTTTGGTTTGATTCAAAACCGTTTTCCTGTCAAATTTGAAATCTTTTGCTTAGTTAAAAAATCCTTTTATTAGTGAATCTGTTAGTAGACTAGTCAGTGTGTATCTCTGAAATCATGAGGTCAAGATGAGGCCTGTCACCCCTTGATGTATCCTTCCTACTTGTGCTTAAAGTGTTGATGGAGTCAGTACTTTGTTCTTAACTAGGCTTTTGTCAATGCTTTTGTATTGACAACAAATGTGTTTTAAACTTAAAGCCTAGAAAACATGCTTGTAAATAACTGCATGCATACTGTATCCTTTTCAATAGATTAAGTGACCCCTGTTCGAGCCGATGGGATGAGAGAAGCTTGTCCCAGAGATCCAGATCGTGGTCCTATAATGGATATTATTCAGACCTTAGTACAGCAAGACACTCCGACGGTCACCATAAAAAACGCAGGAAAGAGAAAAAGGTTAAACATAAAAAGAAAGCTAAAAAGCAGAAGCGTTGCAGAAGACACAAGCAGACCAAGAAGAGAAGGATTATTGTACCATCAGACATAGAATCCTCAAAATCTTCCACCCGACGAATGAAATCCTCTTGTGATAGAGAAAGGCGATCTCGTTCTTCCTCATTATCATCTCATCACTCATCAAAGAGGGACTGGTCTAAATCTGATAAGGGTGACCAGAGCTCTTCAACCCATTCCAGCAGAGACTCCTACAGATCTAAATCTCACTCGCAGTCTTATTCTAGAGGAAGCTCAAGATCACGGACTCCATCAAAATCCTCATCACATTCTCGAAGTAGATCAAAATCCAGATCCACTTCCAAGTCAGGGCACCAAAGGACAGCATCAAAATCACCAAGACGAACAACCTCTCAGTTAACTGAAAATAAACCAGTTAAAACGGAACCTTTGAGAGCAACAGTGCCACAAAATGAAAATGTCGTAGTACAACCAGTGGTAGCGGAAAATATTCCCGTAATACCGTTGAGTGACAGTCCCCCTCCTTCAAGGTGGAAGCCGGGACAGAAGCCCTGGAAACCCTCTTATGAGCGAATTCAGGAAATGAAAGCTAAAACAACCCATTTGCTGCCCCTCCAAAGCACTTACAGTTTAGCAAATATCAAAGATGCTGGAAGTTCATCATCCTACCATAAAAGAGAAAAAAATTCAGAAAGTGATCGGAGTGCTTATTCAAAATACAGTGATAGAAGCTCAGAAAGTTCACCAAGGTCAAGGAGCAGATCTTCTAGGAGTAGATCTTATTCCAGATCATACACAAGGTCACGAAGTCTAGCTAGTTCACATTCAAGATCTAGGTCTGCCTCATCCAGATCTCATTCACGAAATAAATACAGTGATCGTTCACAGTGTAGTAGATCATCGTCATACTCTTCTGTTAGCAGTGATGATGGAAGACGTGCCAAGAGAAAATTTAGATCCAGTGGGAAAAAGAGTAACACTTCAAATAAGAGGCACAGCAGCAGCTCTGAGAAGAGACTTCGCAATAAGTATGTGAAAAGCAGAGACAAGTCTTCGAGTCAGAGGAAGTATAGTGAAAGCAGGTCATCTTTAGATTATTCTTCGGACAGTGAACAGTCAAGTATTCAGGTTACACAGTCAGCCCAGGAAAAAGAGAGGCAAGTCCAAATGGAAATGAACAATAAGCAAGAGAAAAACAGAGATGAAGAGAAATCCAAGCCTGAACAGGAATGCCCTCGTTCAAAGAAAAGGGCCTTGAAAGAGAATCTTTCTGATCACCTTAGAAATGGCAGTAAGCCCAAAAGGAAGAATTATGCTGGGAGTAAATGGGACTCTGAGTCAAACTCTGAACGAGATGTAACTAAAAACAGTAAAAATATTTCCCGGCCATCTTCTGATAAGGAGGAAGGTGAAGCTACGTCAGATTCTGAGTCAGAGTTTGGTGAAATTCACAGCAAAGCCAAACCCCCAACAAAGTCTTCGGCAGGTACTTCGTTGCCTGATGGTAATGGTGCTTGGAAATCAAGTAAGCAGCGGTCTTCAACCTCCGATTCCGAGGGGTCCTATTCCAATTCAGAAAACACTAGAAGAAAGGCACGGAAGCACAAACACGGGTCAAAGGAAAATCTTAGACGGGAACAGACCAAAAAAGCAAAGGAGAAACTGAAAGGGAAAAAAGACAAAAAGCACAAGGCTCCAAAACGAAAACAGGCATTTCACTGGCAGCCTCCCCTGGAATTTGGTGAGGAGGAGGAGGAGGAGACTAGTGAGAAACAAGTTACTCAAGAGGCAAAAGAGAAAAAACAAGTTTCTGACAATAGTGAAACCGTGAAAGAAAACATTTCGCACACTGAGAGGTCCTGCGAAGAGGGCGGCCTTTCAGGTAAATGTAATCCCATCATGACTTCATCAGATACTGGGCAGCCTACTAAAGAGGATAGTAAACCGGGTGCTTCTCCCACAGCTTTCAGTCCTGACGAACGGGGAGCCGCTTCTCCCTCCAGCATTCAGCATATTGCAGAAAGGGCCCCAAGCGGAGTGGAGGATGTGCTGCAGACAGATGACAACATGGAGATTTGCACTCCTGATAGGAGTTCCCCAGCCAAGGAGGCATCCCCTGTAGGAAATTCAAGGCTTGCCACCCCAGACGTAAACGTTGTTCTACAACAGGATATGCACCCAGAGCATCCTGAGACAGAGGAGGGAAAACAGGAAAGCAAAACGATGGGGGATGTGGGGAAGCGGGACAGCAGCCCTGCTAGCCTGGCCAGCGCCGTAGAAAGCGCCGTGAAGAGAGAGGCGGCTGAGAAGAGCCAGATGGGCCTCCTGGATAACAAATGGAAGCCCCTGCAAGGGGTGGGGAACCTGGCAGCACCGACGGCCCCCACGGCCAGCGCCACAGAGGTGAAGGCGTTGACTGCTGCGCCTGAGGTGAAGCCACAAGGCTTGAGGATAGAAATTAAAAGCAAAAATAAAGTTCGGCCTGGGTCTCTCTTTGATGAAGTAAGAAAGACGGCACGCTTAAACCGGAGGCCAAGGAATCAGGAGAGTTCAAGTGATGAGCAGACACCTAGTCGGGATGGAGATAGTCAGTCCCGGAGTCCAAGCAGATCTCGAAGTAAATCTGAAACCAAATCTAGACACAGAACACGGTCTGTCTCCTACAGTCACTCAAGAAGTCGATCGCGAAGTTCCACATCATCTTATCGGTGAGCAATGTAGTCTCTTTCCTCCCCCCCCACCCCGCCCCAAAGGAGAGTCTATTAGTGTTTATCTTGGAAGAACACCAGAATTAGAGACAAGATCACTATTTCCAAATATCTGGAAGGGAATAAGGGGAAGTCTCATGCTGTGTGACTAAGAGAGCCAATTGTGAGGACATAGGAAGTGGGGATTTTAGGCGAAGAAATGTGGGCTCAATGTCAAAAACTATTGCTTGTCAGTTAAAGCTCTCTGGCGGTAGACATGAGTTGCCATGATAGGTGGCAAGTCTCTCTCTTTAATGGTGTGACGCTGCTCTCCCACCTCTCAGTGATGCCTTAGAAGGAAATCCTGAATTTACAGAATTATGTAGGATTTAGAGATCATTAATCTCTAACCCTCCATTTTACACAAGTGGAAGGTGGGGGCCAGAGAGGCCAAGTTAACCTTCCCGAGACCTGCATCGAGTTGATCTTTATTCAAGGGTTAGCGGGGAGGGGCATGGTAAAAATTTATTTATTTTGGTTCAGGTTGCATCTAAGTTTTGTCATCAGCATAGACTGGATTGTGCAGAGAATGAGAATTTTTACAAAATCAGTGATGGTGATACGAAGTTAATAAGTAATTTGTATTCCTTTTTTTTCCTTGTAAATATTTCATGGTTTTACCTCACTATCTCTTATTTGCTCATATCCCTTAGTATATTGTGCTTGCTTTTCATCACTTGAGCCTAAAATATAGTAAAAATCTTTGGGATTCCCCCCCCCTTTCTAGCTATTTATCTTCCCTTTCTCACCCGGATTTCTTTAAAAATAGGAAACAGCATTTGCCATCTGTAATAACTGTGTCCCATTTACTCTTTAGTTGCTTGCACTCTGTCTTCTGCGCCTTCCCTCCCCGACATCTTCCTAAAAGGGCTATTTTCAGGTACTTCGCACGAGCGCCAGGGCATGTTTTCAGTCCTTTTGGCCCTCCTGGAACCTACTGCTAGCTCTCTTCGTCCTTCTCAGCCCATTCCATGTTTGTGTTGCGTGCTCTTTTTCCTCCTCCTGCCCTGAATCCCAGCAGGCCCAGAGAGCTGGTGAATCCTGGCCTTTTCTCTCTAGGTTCATATTCCTAGATGCAGCACAATTGAGCTAGTTCAGCCCCCCTGTCTGCTTAACGTCTGCCTTCCATTCGTGCTCTGACAGTTCTGAGCTGCTGGTGATGCCGGCCACTCTCATTTAGCTTCCTACCGCTGCCGTTGGGGTGGGTGGCATTTCATGTGATAAATGAAGATGGGGTTAGAAAGCCTAAGGAATTTGCTTCACGTTATGTAGCTAATGGGTAGTAGACCAGACAGCTAACCTTGCCTCCCGGTTTTGGTTACTCACCTGGCCGTGACTCCCGTACTAGGCTGTGAACTCACTGAAGTCTGGGACTATTTTCTACTCATCTTTCTGTTACCTCACAGAATCTGCTCTATAATTGTTTGTCGAGTAAAGGACTAGAATCTTACTAGAACATAATGTGTTCATTCTCTTGTAGATATACTGGAAGCAGATCATGTCTTCTAAAACATAAGTACATAGTAAATAAAATAAAACCTTTGAAGATGTTACGTAAGTAGCCTAGATATAGGGATATCCTTCTGTCCTAAATGACAGGTAGAAAGTTGGGGGAGAAGAGTGGGGAGCCAAGTGAATGCAGAGGGGCAGAATTGTACTACTTAAGTTCCTTGTTTTATTGAATACTAAGTAGATTAAAAAGAATTAAATGATTAGATATAAATAAATAATTTAAAATGTCACCTAGATTTAAAAAAATAGAGCTTTGACATACCTGATATATCCCTACTACTCAGTGCCACCCTACTTTCTCTCTTCTCTCCTAGAATTAAACATTATTTTATAAGCTTTTTTTGTAGTTTTGTTTTTTTTTTTTTTTTAAAGATTTTATTTATTTATTTGACAGAGAGAGAGAGACGGGGAGAGAGGGAACACAAGCAGGGGCAGTGGGAGAGGGAGAAGCAGGCTTCCCGCCGAGCAGGGAGCCCGATGCGGGGCTCGATTCCAGGACCCTGGGCCATGACCTGAGCCGAATGCAGACACTTAACCAGCTGACCCATCCAGGCGGCCCTTTGTTGTTGTTCTTTAGTTTTGCCACAAATATTTTTATTTGTATACAGTGTTTTTGCATGTCTTTGGACAAAATCTTTGCACATGTGCACACCTGCACACCTGTTCTATCTGCATTTTTCACTCAACACTATGTTCCGGGAGGTGTCTCTGTTGATGTAAGTAGCTGTACTCCATTTTCCTACTGGAGAATGTTACTGAATTTCTCTGCCCCCCCCACCCCCATTCTATCATTAGTGGAGCTTTGGATTATTTCTTCTTCTGGTCTTACAAGTAGGACTCCAGTGAAGACACCTTTACCTGGTTTATTTCATTCCGTTCAATTTAAACCCTCATTAGCCGTCACTGTCAAACCCGCTATGAAGAGTTTGTGAACGACCTTTCCTTGCTGTGTTCTCCCCTTCCTAGCCTACTAGTAATCATTTGAACAGCATGGTGAGTTAACATAATTCTATTTTTTCACTCTCAATTGTAGATCAAGAAGCTATTCTAGAAGTCGGAGCAGAGGATGGTACAGCAGAGGCCACACAAGAAGCCGGAGCAGCTCCTACCGCAGTTACAAAAGTCATAGGTGAGTGTGGGAACCCCACCTTGCCATGTGGTCTTCATCCTGTCTGCTTTTCAAGGCCTGCACAGGCGGAGTGGGGGAGCTTTTGAGAAGAATCCTGTCATTGCTGAATACCGGACAGGCCTATCATCTAGTTGTTTCTTTCTAGGAACTGTCATATTCTCACTGGCTATCCTCAAGATGTGATCTTATCAGAGTGAGGAAAGAGAAGCAGTAGAAATCTTTTAAAAAGGCCCTGCCCACTATCTCCCCACCCCCCCCACCTCCAGTGTATCTTCCTTGACCTCAGTTCACATCTGCAGTCACCTCTTGGCTTGGGTAAGGGATTGGGATAGGAGGACTGATTTGTTAGTAGGGGGCCACGGGATGGAGCATGTGGGGGGGTGACCCCAGGTTTGTATTTCTCCCAGCTTCATCAAATGCTCTTTTGCCTCTGAGGTATTTTCCACTGCTGCAGCTTCATTTTACCTACAGGTGTCTGACCTGTGCAGACTTCCCCTCCCCACCCAGTTAGAACCTCCCCAGTGACTTTGCTATGTGCACCTCCTAGAAGAACAAAAGTTAATCAGAACGAAATCCAACATGCTTTTAAAAAATCCAACATACTTTTGATGAAGAAATGAAATAAATACACCTACTGGATTTCATTGTGTTTTTTTCTTGATGGGCAAATAAAAGTCTAGATTTTTGATATAACCTGTCCTGAGCCACAAAATGATGGTCCCTCATGTGATTCCTATTAGGACATCCAGCAGGAGCAGATCCAGGAGCAGCTCATACGACCCCCATAGTCGGTCCAGGTACGGACAGGGGGTGGGAACCACCTGTGGGGGCAGAATTGAAAGGCCTTCTTTTATAAAACCCTTCATTCCCTTTTAAAAAGTGTTGTAGTCTATTGAAAAATTTAAATACATATATTTGTCTCATGAAATCATCTCCTAACTACATGAGGTTTTTTTTGACAGCTTTTGTCTGTTGGCCCATTGTACTCTGGTGTCAGAGTAACAATTGATGTCCAGTTGTAATGGCAGGTATTTATTGAATATAATTGCCGAAGATCCACCAGATTCAGTCAGACTAAGTCAGTGTTAACTTTGTGATATTTTTCAATGCAGAAAAGAAATGAACATTTTTCTGTTTCATGTGGTAAGTCTCACTGGGGCACTTGTTAAATGTCTCTAGTACTTGCTGTGCAAATGTGTCCTCACACAGTCATAGAGTGCCCATGCCCTCAGAGAACACTGAAGAGATGATAAGAAGAAACGGAAGCCTGTGAGTCTTGGAGTGGGGGAATTAAATGTGTGTGGTTGCTGTTGAAGCAGGTCCTGCACTTACGATAGCTACTACAGCAGGAGTCGGAGTCGCAGCAGAAGCCAGAGGAGTGACAGTTACCGCCGAGGCAGAAGGTACAGGCGATCGAGGTGGGTCTCCCTCCTTCAGGTCACTGCAAGGTACTGTGGGCACTTGGTGTGGGAGGTGACAGACGGCTCGTAGAAGAGAAAGCGTAATCTTTCGAGGTCAGAAATATTTCTTCCTGTTGAGTTTCAGCAACCCACAGGCATCTACTAAAGGTGGCTTTTGTATTAAGGGTTGTTGGGTCAGGTTTGTTGGTTATTGTTAATGTTTGAATCTAAAATGGATTCTGTAATATTTACATACTCTTGGACAAACAGTTTCTTTGGAAGGAGTAAAGAGAGAAGGCCACCCAGACCACGCCCCACTCCTTTAAATAAGGCTACTTGCTAAAAATAGCAAAACCAATTTATTAGTTTTTTAAATTAAAAAACAAAAGTATACTAAAATATCATTTGCTTCAACAGCAGGGTTGAGGTTTATATCATCAATTTTAGTAAAAATATATTTTTATGCATTACAGATATTTATAGATGTTACATTTTATATAACCTATTTGGGCTGGTACTCCCAAAGTCTTAATGGCGACTTTTTGTAATGTCCCTTTCCTGGTCGCTTTTGGTCTTACCCTCCCCCATCCATTGCAGCTACAGTCAGTGATCCTTGTCTAATATCAGTGTGATCTAGACACTTCGCTTGTTTGAAACTCTTGAAGGGCTCCCTACTGCCCAGAGGGGCAGGTCCAGCCTCTTTAGCATCCCTCCCATGTAAGGCCTTTCCGCCTACCAACTCCAGCTGGGGCTTTTCTGTCTTCCCTCCTTTAATGTGCTAGAACCTGTCCTTCTGCCTGGAGATACACACGCCTCCTGAAATGGCCAATTCCCACCTGCCTACCCTGTAGGTCTCAGCTGCAACCCACTGCCCCAGGGGGCTGTCCTGACTGATAACCCTGAGTTATACCACCCTGCCTCCCCGCAGTGTGCCCTGTTTGCCTTGTCCACTATTCTGTGTGGTCCTTGAGCCCCAGGAAGCTATACTTGGTCTACCGTGTATGTCCCTAGCATCTAGCAAAGTGACTGGCTCCCTGAATATTTCTCAAAATAACTGGTGACCATTGCCAGGTCCTCTTGACGCAGTGTCCCAGTGGTCCTGTCCATGTCTTTCCCACCTTCACCCCTCATGGGGTCCCCATTTTGGTTTCCATATTTTTAATGAAACTCTTCATTCATGTACCTTTTTTTATTGCTTGCTTCCTCGGTCTAATTAAATATTGATGTTCATTTTGGGTAACATGGAAAATTATTCTGCTCATTTGCATGAGTGGATTTCAAGTAATATCCCAAGATGCGATGTTTCTTTATCTTAATCTTGATATTACTGCTATGTGTCATTTAAAACATCTTTGAAAAGTCTACACTGTTGCCACCATCAGGACCCCACTCATCCACCCAGTGTGCTATGCCACATCAGTATTGCTTTCAAGCCACTCGTATCAAAAAAGAAGCTTCAGGAGGAATTGAGAGGGTTGAAGTTAAAAGGTGTCTGTATATTTCTTTTGTTACACAGGAGCTGTAGATCCTATGGCTCTGACAGTGAAAGTGACCGAAGTTACTCTCATCACCGGAGCCCCAGTGAAAGCAGCACATACAGTTGAAAATGTCCCCTTTTTTGATACAAATTATATCTTATTTGTAAATATCTGGTAACTTAAAAGTTTAAGAAACTTAATGGCAGTCTGTTGTTCTATTTCAACATTAGAAATAAGTTTCGAAAATAGGCACTTCTTAATTGTTATTGCCCATTTACATGTGCACAGAATTTAAAATACAGATATGTCTCCTAGAAATATTTTTATGCCACATTTTACAGTAGCCAACTTTGGGAATGAATTTCATTTTCTTGAATCAAGAAATCATGAAATTTAAGTATAATTTGCAATATTATTTTAGACAGATTCTTTCTTTCCATCTCATGTATTCCTTAGAATACAGATTCTTTTTGCCCGTTTTTCAGGTTTTAGCGTATATGCTGCCAAGCCCAGAACTGTGAAGAACTGTTAAAGGTGGCCAAATATTTATATACCAATTACACCGTCTTATGCATATGTGCTCTTAGAAACAAACCACCCAGAATCGATACCGATGGTAGCCAGGAGTCTTAAGGCGGTGGCTCTGGAGTTCTTAACTCATTCCTTCCTTCTTGGTGGTCTCAGAGGGTCAGGAAAGTGGTCATCATACAGCCCACCATCTGTATTACTCCAGGCTGGCGGGTGAGGTTAGGAAAAATAAATCAGCCTTAACTATAAATACCTGCACTGTCTCTAAGGCCCTAATGTTTTTTGTGCTTTTTAATAAATACTATCAGAAGTTTAGATTGTAAAAAACAATTCTGTTCCGGTTCATGTTTGGGTGCTCGGTACCTTTTGGTGCCTCTTCAAGTATACTTTACATTAGAATCTCATAGGAGAGAGAGAAGTGATTTTTTTTTTTTTTTTTTTTTTTTTTTTTTGCTGGCACCAGGCATGGTTCCTTCTGGGCTATATTCACTTTAAGTATCTGGCGGGTTTCTCTCAAGCTCAGGTGTGGCTTGGGGCCTCCCCTGGAGCAGGCAGGATTGGCACAGAGGGTCGTGTGGCCCCTCGGGGTTGCTGCACATAACTGGCACGCGTGCCTCTGGAAGAGCGGATTGAAGAGTAGAATTCAGGGTACCGCCAGACCTCACTGCCACATCCCGGAGACATTTTGGAGGGCTTTCAAGTCTTTCGGGTAAGGGAGCTCTACCACAACAGCGGCTGAGCTGTTCTAAGCACCAGCACGTTTGTCTTCTTTCCGCTGTGATCCACTCTGACTCCGTGAAGCTCGCACGACCTAAGTCCAGGGGAAGAGGGGTGTACAGGACTGCACAGATGACATGTTTTCAGTTTCAGGTGTTTCCTCCAAAAATGGTTTGACCTGTAAAAACTGGTGTTTTTTGGTTTCGGGGTTTTTTTAATCTTTGAGTTATTCCCCCAAGTGTACTTAATCACCTTAGTGCCAGTTTAAGCCAATTGTGCAGAAGAAATTCATATTGGATGTTTGATGTGGAACTCTGCTCCACCCTACCCAGGCCTTGCTTGGGGTACTTGGGAAGTGGGAAAGAGCCCTCAGTTGGAGGGATCTGACAACCCTTGATGGGTGGAGGGGTGACCTTGGGTATATTAAAACCATCACCCATAAAAGGTTCATAAACAGGGTTAAATGGTAAGCTGTTTGCCAGGTTGACAGACGAGAGTACATTAGGAAAACAGGACCCAAGTCAAACAGATGTACTTCCTAGTGAATACAGAACAATGCATGATTCATATGAAGGGTTTTCAAAAGTTGCCTGTAACACTCCGTGAAAAAAAAACCTACATTCAGAACTCAAACAGAAACTGCCAAATCTAATTAGGTTAAGAAAAGTTACCCTTGGACAATGTATTCGTTTTCTACTGCTATGTAACAAATTACCCCACACTCAGCAGCTTAAAACAACACCCATTTCTTAGCTCACAGATCTGTAGCTTGTGAGTCTGGCACAGTATGGCTGGATTCTCTGCTCAGGGTCTCAACAAGGCTGAAATCAAGGGTCAGCAGGGCAGCATTCTTTTATGGAGGCTCTGGGGAAGAATCTACTTCCAAGTTCATTTGGTTCCTTGCTGGTTGTCAGCCGGCGGCTTCTCCCTCAGCTCCTGAAGGCTGCTCTCATTCCTTCTTGTGCGTTCCCCTCCATCTTCAAACCCTCAGTGGCCTTCCCATCCCTCTGCCTTCCTCCTTCATTTTTAAGGTTTGTGTGATTAGATCAAGCCCACTGATTAAGTCTCCCTATTTTCAGGTCGGCTCTGCCATAGAACATAGCATAATCACAGAAGTGACTGCATAGGTGCAGGCTCCTTAGATTGGGGCACAAAATGAGGGGTGCGGGTGGGGCAGGCCGTTTTAGAACCCTGCCTACCCCACACAATAACTGCCCACTGCTGGGGGGGGGTCAGTTTTCATCCCAAAAAAGGTGGGCCCTGGAAGCCTCGATTGTTTCCTCCATGGAAAAGAACAGCCCTCAGCCGCAGCATTCAATTGTGTTTACTGAATGAACTACAGAAATAGCTTTTCTGCCTAGAGGGGATTGTTCTGTATTTTAAGTTATTTTTTAATAAAATTTAATTATGTATTGTGCTTAATAGAAAATGTATTATTGGACTGTTTTTGTAACGTCTTGTTTACTGCAAATGAAACATGATATAGCTGGTATTGTTCAAACCTGTAGAAAATACTTTTGTACATATTGGCAATGTCTAATTTGTATACACTTCACTTAAATGTTCCTAAAACTTGAAAGGGGGACCTTGTAGAAATTAAAATATATACTTAGTCTAAATCGGTGCCTGTTTCATCTGTCTTTACTCATCCAGACTTCGGATCTTTCTGAAATGGAAAAAGGAACCATTGCGTCCCTTTGCTGACCCAGCCAGTAAAGAGACTTCATCTCGGCAGCTCATTTTCATCCTGTCGCTGAGTGTTAGTGGGGGGGCATGAGGTGGAGCTGGAGGGAACCTCAGGCAGAGATCCATATGTTCACCTCCCCAGAGAAGTACTGATGGTGCTTGGTCTCTCTTCCCCTGCAAACTCCGGATTTCCTCCCGCTTTGTCGTCACTCTTCGGAGGTGACCTGCATACAGATGTCTTTCCTGAGGAAGGAGTAGGTCCCATCTCATCTGGGAGCTGCTGCCTAGGGACAGCGCACTTACCAGCTGTACCACCGACAGCCTCCACACTTCCCTCCCTGACATTCACTGGGCACATAGCACTCGGTCCTAGAGAGAACGTTCTTGGTGATATTTTTAGTGTCCACATGAGAATTTGCAGGGCAAGTACAATTAACTTTGTTCTCCTCAGAACTCAGAGGAATTTGTATTTTCTTCGTGAATACAACATAACCTCTCTCAGACTTGTAGAGGTTCAGTTTTCAGAATTGAGTTAACAGTAGACCCCCAAGTCAGAATCCCTGACAATAGTCAGATCTAGATGCACTAAAATTTAAAGAAAATTACAGCCTTTTTGCTGTAGGGAACCCCCCGAGTGAGGTTCCTTTTTAGTGAGCTCCAGCATTTTGTTCACATTCTGATAATGATCACTTTGATCAACTGGGCAGTACTGGAGGGAAATGTGTCAAGGACTTTGGTCTTCACTGTTCTGAATTAGCTGGGCATTAAATAAGAGCTAAGAGAATTCAAGAAAAATGCCCCTATCACAAGTGACCATGAACACTGGCTTGGCATCACTGTTGGGAAGGGAGAGGAAGCTGTAGTTGGCATAGAGAGAAACTTGCCATGGTAGTGATGGCAAATTAGCTGGCCAGGTGAGGCCTGGAAGCCACGCCTCACACGCTGGAAGAGCCTGGACTCAAGAGGGCTGGTTTCTAGAAAGAAGTCCTGGGAGGGGCTTGTGATAGAATGAGTTGGGACGCAAGCTGAGAGGAATCCTGCTGGGCAGGAAGAAGTCCTTGGATGCTCTAGAGGCGGCAGGCAGCCTCAGGCGTCGGAGAGATCAGGACTACCCTGTGGGGTATCCTGGAAGAACAGGGCACCTGCTTGTCTCGGGACAGACCCTGGGCAGCTCTAGTCAGTGGCCGATGTGTGTACGAGGCAGGGGCAGCGCACTGCCATGACACAAAGGGGCAGGAGGCTTTAATGGTCCGCTTAAAGGTTTCGGTAGAGGGTAGAGACAGTGCTGCCTTGCCCCTTTCCCCTCTCCTCCCTGTGAATCACCAGGCCACGGTGGGGCTGTGCCAAGCTTGAGGCCAAGTACTTCTGCCTCTTGGAGACCCTGGGTGCACCATTCACAGCTCCACAGGCTAGCCTGAGGACTGTTTGGTCTCAACCGGCCTAGAGCCCCGAGAAAATCGGTAAAAAAGGAGTGACCTGGGGCTGCATTCTGCATCTGGACGGCTGACCCTGAGCCTCTGACTGCTCATGTGTACTAAGAGGACTGCCGGTTGCTTGGCTTACAAACCCTGAAAGAGGGTGTGAACACCTGGCGCAACTGGACATGGAAATCAGTGGTGCCCATCCCTTCCCAGGCTCGCCTCCCAGAGGGCCTACAGGGGGCGGAGGCATGGTTACCCAGGTCCTCCTGCAACCAGCATCTCTACCGGCAGGCCAGGTTCCCAGAGAAAGGCTGAGAAGGACCCCACTAGTCTCAATGCCTCTGGCCTAATTTGATTTTATGTTGAATTAAGGACCTCTATGAGCAATTATTCTATGGTACAGTCCTTAGGGGATTTGAGCCAGAGCCATACTGCCTGGGTTCAAGTTCTACTCTGTCAGTTCCTAGTTTGGGTAACTAGATAAATTGTTTGACCTTTATAATTCAGCTCCTCATCTGAAAATCTGGGATACCAAGGCCTCCCTCTCAGAAAGTGAGAATTAAATGCTTAGAACCAAGCACACATCAAAGCTCCTGGGACGCTAGCCCCTGGGATTGCCTCCAGGAGGAGGGTAGGAGCCCACAGGTTTCATGTGGAGGACCAGGCTCAAACACAAATGAAAAGCCCAGGGTCCCTCAAACCAAAAGGGTGGGAGAGGATCCTGGAAGCTTCTGGTGAGGCCTCAAATGCCAAGGCCATGACGTTTACACAGCAGGAGGGAACTGGGCAACCTGCTGGTTTGAATTAGGCCCCCACCCCCAGCAGCTGTAGCCTATTAGTGTGGGGCTCGGTGGTGGCGGAACACAGGAGCAACACCCCCAACTCCAC